CCGGTCACAACTATAGGGTTGCCAGGTATAAACAGGTAAATCTGTACTAGCATTTTGCAACGGTCTGTTTATTGAATGAAATTTAAATTAAATTAAAGATTATTTTATTCTGAACACGGTGGTATAGGGTTGCCTGCGAAAAATCAGTCCAGAATTGCGGTTGTCGAATTTTAAAAAGTAAAATATTGCTCCGAGTGAATGTGTCAAATCAATGTCATCAATCAATGTCAAGTCAATTAATTGCTTAGGAATGTCACATTCTCCACGAATGACATCATCAACAGTTATGTTGCGAGAAAGCGGATGAGCATCTATATTTTTAATGCAGCTTTTCAAATAATATGCTACATTTTCAAACTCATAATCATTTCTTGTCTCCAAAAGTTTGAAAGTGTTTGCCATTACAGAGACGTCCATGTCTGTTTTATACACAATTTTTTTGTTACGTATTCCCATTGACGCTTCAATCGTAATACGATCATCGAATTTCTTCATTAATTTTTTTGCAAAGTTTCACTTCGGTAATCTTGAATATCATCGAAATCAATTTCATGATTTCCAAACTCTAACAATAAAGCTTGGTATCTTAAAAATAATTGAGCCAAGTACATAACCTTGTTGTTTAATTAATTATATATTAAATTAAATATAAAATACGTTTCATTAAATAAGCATCTCGGTGAAGGTCGTTTTATATCGGGATCTTATACTAATACATCGCCATGTGTTTGAGTCCATTGTGTATACGCTTACGGTGAGTCGTTTGTCAAGGTTTCAGCCTTGAATGTATTTGGGATCCCCGATCCGATGTAGACTCGTGTGATCAGCAAAATTTGGACTCATTTACTTTTTTTTTAATCTAAAATATTAAGTGCCTAAAACTACATCAAGATTATGCAGATAAATTGAGTTTTATTTATAGATAATCGTTTATTGATTGCCTCGTCGGTCTAGTGGTTGTAGTAGTGCGGCTGTTGATCATGAGGTCTTGGGTTCGAATCCCGGGTCCGGCCCAAAAAATTAATTATTAAGTTTTTCCGTCAAGTAACTTTAAGTAGTTGCCCGGAGTCAGGAAGTTGGCGGTGTCTCAGCCTCGTGCCTCGGAAAACACGTAAAGCCGTTGGTCCTGCGCCTGATCTCTCTCCGGTCGTGTCGGTTTACCGTCACATCGGATTATGAGAGTGAGCAAATAGAGAGTGCACCTGTGTTTGCGCATACACTTGCGCACTATAATCCTGTCCTGCGCCGATGGCTAGTCTCCGTTAAGGCAGGCCGCCGTGGCCGAAATTCGCTCAGGAGGAAATTGTTATTTCCTGTGGATTAGAGTTACAATACATTAAGATTACTTTGAATGTTAACAATTTTGTAAAACTTACAGACCATGGGACATTCCATCTCAGTTCTCAGAGGTTACCACGCATCTGTAGTCCATCTGTTTGGAAGTTGGACCCTTACTATCAGGTGGCCTGATAGTGCGTCACATCAATTTACAAAAAACTTCCAGCCCTTCTGATAGCAAGTGATTTCCGAATTTGAAACAAAGAAGGCTACGGGTGGGTGCGCTGTCGCTCTAAGGGACTGTTATGCAAAATACCTAGTTTGTTATCATGTCGGCTTTTTTAACCCATATTTATTCACAGTAATCAATAAGTTGCTACTGTGTGCGGTATAATACCACCCAGACGGACTACTAGAGAATGAATCTATCACTCAGTGATATTTATCGAAACTTCACTTTGCTACAGTACATTTTGGTTGAATAGAAGTGTTTAATACGTAGCGAACACGTACTTAGAACAATGTGGGCAAAAATGTACATATGATATTAAACTATAATTTTCTTGGATAAGCCAGTCGTGTTTAATTTGCACGTAAAGTTACAGCCTATATACGTCCTACCCCTGGGCACAGGCATCCTCCCATTTCTGAAAGGGTTTAGAGGAAAAAAATGTCTGAACTTCACTTGGCTTTGAATTATTGTTTTTAATTTAATTTCATAAGTGGTAAAGCTACGCTACAGCTGTATTATGGTTGTAACACGAATAGGTAGGCTCGACCAAGGAAGGACCACACTCACAGAATACCAGCGTAAAATAGCAGCTTATTTCGATTGGTGAGTGTAGAGCACCTGAGACCATTTTTACTGGATACGAGGCTTTTCGTCTTTGTCCTCAGGGGTGACAACGCATCTGCATTTTGATGCTTCATCAAGGATGGGTGGGCCACATTATCTACTTTCCATCAGGCGGCTTGTGTGGTCGTATTCGCTATAGACGGCAAGTACGCCAAAAATTTATATTCGGCTGAATATTTGACTAAATCATCGAATGTTAGGCAAAGAAGTACTAAAGTGGTTTTGTGTGTGATTGGTCACGATTGATTACGCCTTACATAGTAGCTTAATAATTTTGTATAGAGTAATATGTTTTGTATAGAGTTGTATGTATTTTGCCGTAACCTCGATATAATGGCTTGAATCTAAAATTCTAAAAAAATATCTAAAAGAATCTTAACATCTCGTGGTTGATATGGTGCTTTGGGGTAAGATCGGTTATGAGGCAAGACCGTAAGATTCAAATTTCCGGCGAATCAATGCCATATTTATACACATACACATGCTAACAATATGGTACCATTTCCTTCTGTCCCGTTCTCAAGTTCCAGCCAGTCGCTTCGGGAAGTACTACTAAGTAAGTGTTCTACGCGGCATTTTATAAAACAAGGAAATTTTTTCATCCGGTCTTTCCCTATCACTTTTATTTGCGACTTTTAGTTACAAATATGGCAGTGGTTGTCAAATTTTAATTTCCTTCGTAGATTGCTCAAGCGACTGGGGCTCGGTATCAGTATTATATCTATAGTGCCTTAATGTACATAATTGAGCTTAATTTTTAGGAAAGTTTTATAACTTCGCGAATCGGAGAACGGAGACCCAAAACCAAAGTACCGAAGTGTATTTATATTACATAATCTAACTTTGCGTCAGGTGGACTGTGTATTTTTGTCGTTTAAAATGTTGCGTATGAAGAAACTAAAATTATTTTTGTTTATTTATTTAATCTTTATTACACACCTTACAATAAGAGATATAAAAGGGAGACTTAATGACTATATGACATTCTCTACCTTATGATTCAATGCACTGTTGCAGTAAAAATTTGTTACGACCGATAAAGAAGTATATAACGAAATATATATTATAGATAATATATCAGAATAGAACACTCTAGGCATGCTTTTCGAATAATGGAGATAATTATATGCAGTCGCATGAGTAGCCTCGGTCTACGAATATGAATAGTCCCGTAATGTGTATTCCCTGTTCTTCTGTAATCTGTAGAGACATGGACACTCATAGAAGTTATTTGTATGTTTATAGAACGATGCTAAGCATTCACCGTATAGTGGTGGTGTAAGATAATCCATTACCCCATATCATCCCGTGGGTGTCGTAAGAGGCGACACCGAGAAATAAATCAGAATATGGGCAGTAACGTCTTACTAATAACGACTAAAAATAAAAAAAACCGGTTGCCAACCCGCTTGCCATGGGTGGCAACTATGCCAAATATCCTCCTCTATGAGGTAAACTAAGAGTGGGACCTTTTTTTTTATAGAATAGGGTGACCAACGAGCACACAGTCCACCTGATGGTAAGTGGTTGCTGCGGCCCATAGACATCTACATCTATCCTCCATTAAAAATCAAAATGCAGATGCGTTGTCACCCGTGAGGACTGAGATGGAATGCCTCGTTTCCAGTAAAAAGGGTCTCCGGTTCTCTACACTCACCATACGAAATACAGCAGCATTAAGCTACTATTTCACGCTGGTATTCTGTGAGAGCGTGGTCCTTCCCCGGTCGAGCCGACCCATTCGTGCTACAACTATACTACTAATATAACTGCAGCATGGCTCTACCACGTAAAAACCTATGTTCAGCAGTGGAATTTAATTGGCTGGCTTCGGTTTGCAAACATCTATATATTATAATAATATGAATACACACTTTATACTGAAGTTGCGATGGCACCTATTCTGATACAGCGTTATGTAGTACTATTATCTATTCTGTGACAGCGTGGTCGCTCTGGTGGTTTGGCGGTCGAGCCCTCACGATTGTGTTGCAGTCGGTATCAAGTTCAAGCGTGTCTTTTACACGCTAAATCATTATAATAATATTCATCGACGAAAAATGATATAAATATATTTTTAGAAATACGTTTTGGCTTGTCAAATATTCCTATTTCGTTTGCAGTTGTGTTAGGACTAAATATTCGGCTAAGGGTTTTCAATATCCCAATATTGAAATTGTTATACAAGTTGTGATGAGACCAAAGTTAAACAAAATTATTTATTTATTATTTCCTTAGAACTTTATATAAGTACATGATACAAGGCATGGATTTCGCCTATATATACCATACCATTCTGAGGTCATTATAATGTCAATATCATATTTATCTATATCGTATTTCAGAAACGCTAAAATATGTTCGAGAATAGATTTTTCTTGAAATAGTATATTATGCTCGGAAAATATATGGAATGTTAATTAAATTCTTAATTGAATGAGTGGATTTTTAAAAGAGAGATTTTGAGAGAACAACTGACGTTCGCGTTCTCGGTTTTAAAATGATATCCACAATATTTTTCTATAATAAGAAAGTCATGTTACTGAACCAGATTTTTAATCGGATACATTTTTATTTAAATCCTTTATTTTCTGATAATAATGAAAAACCATTCAAATAAAAAATCTTTGTTCACCGAATGTCGCACGCTTACTTCGTGATGGACAAGTACAAATGCATGCAGCGAAGAAGGGAATCCTAAAAGCCTTTTGACGTAGGAAATCCTCGCTTTAAGGTGATGCAGATTAACTTACACCTGGTAATCGTAAAATAATGATGATATGTATTATAGGAGTGAGATACCTGTATTTTACGAGTTACTTGTTACCTGTATTTTAATGATGTGCTGTACTACTGTTTTCTCCAGCCAATCAACAACGCAGATTTCGTGGTGCCGGTGGAGATTGACGGCGCCGTGCATCAAGTGTACGTACTGAAGCGGCCCCACGTGGACGAGTTCCTGCGGCGATGTGGCGAGCTGTACGAGTGTGTTCTGTTCACCGCCTCCCTAGCTAAATACGCGGACCCCGTCGCCGATCTTCTGGACAGGTAAATAAAAAAACTTTTTTTTGCGCCCGAAGCAAATAAGGGCTACCCTCGGGTAAACGGGGGAGGGAGGTGGTGAATGCTCTAAACACCACCTTTTGGGATTGGCTTAGGGATGATCTAGCGAGAGATCTTTAAGCCGTAAACGGACGCGACCCTCCTTGGGTGAAAGGAGGGCGCAAAATAAAAAACGCAGAGAAACACTTTATACACACAATCAACCCATCGACGTACACAATATAAATTAATTAATTTTGACTAACTGAAGTCATGCCAATAGGTAACTTTTATTTTGTTGTGAGTCCTTTTGAATGATATTGTAAATTCTTTTTTTTGGAGTTGGTTGCACTTACCATCACTTAGCTAGTTTGTCATTAAACTAAAATATACCTTCTGTTAACCCAGACCAATACATAAAACGAAGCCCAAAAGTTGAAGATTAAAAATATGTACATAAAGGAATTCTTTAGTGCTTTTACTTCACATTACATAATATGATTTTATTAAGACGTTTTTATTAGCTTCGTGTGTATCTATCTACATGTGTAACGGAATCTCTTAATGTAATTTTCACTTGCAGACACATGATTGACTTGAAAATTTGCACTCGTTTTAATGACTTAATTTAACATCTTTATCCTAGTATTCTGGTTAAGATCACTAGGATAAAATAAAATATTTATCAGGATCATTTCAGCTCATTATCGATTTGTGGCTTAAATTTTTTTAAAACTATTATAATATTATTTTTTAACTTATTCGTACAAACACTATTGTCTTTGTTATATCATTATTGTCATGTCTCTTATTGTAGTGTGCATCCTATTTAACGTAATGTTAAAACAAGTGCTTATTACTGTTATCGCGTACTTCCAGTGACGTCATATTAAGACGTAGATAATATGATAATATTAACGTGAGAAAGGATTTTCTTGTATTAAGTGCATGTTGCCCTTGTGTGATTGCTTATAATCTACGATTTCTCAAAAGATTGTCAACGACTTACTGCTCTGTCTTAAATACATCGGTATTTATTTAATAAATTACATACGTAATATTTGTTTTGCTGAGTTCAAATTATGTCTTATTTGACGCAATACACACAATACAGGCGTTTTTACTCGACTGGCCGAGAAGAAGGGTGATGTTTTTCAAGCGTATGTACGAGGTGCCTTCAATGTATTCCGGGTATGAGTATGTTAGAAAAAGATAAAATCAAGAATTTTTTTATTTATCAATATAGTCTCCCATTACATTAATACATTTACCTACTAGTTCGTTAAAAAAAGCTTTTCAAAAAAAGTAAAGTTACAGCCTATACTTATACGTCCCACTGCTGGGCTCAGGCCTCCCCTCATTTCTGAGAGGGTTTAGGGCAAGGAAGTGTCCGCCGCGCTGCCCAAATGCGTGTTGACGAACTTCACATGTCTTCGAAATATATTTTTTTCTTATTCCTCAGACATGCAGGTTTCCTCACGATGTTTTCCTTCACCGCCGAGCACGTGGTAAATCAGCACTTAAAATTGCTATTAACAATTTCATTGGTGCCGGCGGGGATCGAACCCGGGTTACTCGCGTTCTGTTATATTTACAGCGAGCGTTAACCACTGAGCTACCACGGCTCGACTCTTCAAAACTTTTCAAAAGCTTCTTTGAAAAATGCTCATTAACAGCGGACTTGAGTTGATTATCGTCAGCAAATCGCTTTTCCCGAAGGTCTTTTTTAAGTTAGTGCATAAAAGTAGTCACTAGGGGCTTAATCTTGGCTGTATGGTGAGTGGTTAATTTCATCAAACCCGCAGTCTCGTACAGCAGCCTAGTGAACCGGTGCGTTTTCATGAAGAAGCAGCACTCCCTTGGTCAGGTTTCCTCTTTTCTTCTTTTATTGCTTCTCTTAAACGGTGTAAAGTGGCTGAGTATTTGTCTGCGTTGATGGTTTCAACTTTTTTGTCTACTCGATCAATAGTATTCCTTTCGATTTCCAAAACACTGTGGCCATGATCTCCTGTAACTATCCTATCGAAAACTCTTGTTGGGTCGTCACCACACAGCTCTAAAAACTTCCTACAACAGCAACCCGCGCCTGTTTTGGAACGCAATGAGAATTCGCGGCGTCCATCTTGCACTGACTTGTGAGGTTGAGATAGTGATGCAATTTATGTTTATGGTACCACCGGATAGGTTAGTCATTTCTGCTAACATCTTAATTCTTACCCGTGAATCTTTTAATACAAGTTTTTTAATATTTTCACATTTTCTTCTATAGCCGCTATGATTGGCCCACCCGGGCGGAGGTCATCTTCGATGCTTTCCCTGCCTCTTTTGAATTCACTCGATCACTTCTGTAAAGTTGACATTGAAGGAGCAGTCTTGGTAAACGGCCACTCTTTTTTCATGGACATTTTTTTTGAGTTTTTCCTTGTTTAGTGAGGAATTTAATCACTGCCCGGTGTTCGATTTTTTCAACATTGTCGAGTCAGTCATTCCCGTCATCTATGACTGAAGGTTACATAAGATGCAGGGGCGAAGCTAGAGCTCCAAGCTAGGGCAAGCCCAAGATATAAATTGATAAAAATATAGATTGTTGTTTTTAGCAGTTTTATAAAAATACACCAATCTTGATCTGTCTCCACGCTTCAGTTTCATATTCAGTGCTGTCAAGGACGTGTTTAAAGCACACAGAAGGCATACCACTGCTAGATAGATTGTATTACATATCAGCAATTGCATAGCTTCGGTGGCTTTGAAGAAAGCCGTTTCGGTTTGTTTAAGCGAAAGAAAAAAAATATTTACATCCAATACAATACATGAACAAAAGTAAAACACGAACAAAGTACAAACAAACTATGTACAAAATTAAAAAAAAAATTATTTACATTCTAATGGATAAGAGATAAGATAACTGGAATCGTCTCGCTTTCTTATGGAAATATTTCATTACGTCCATGTAAAACATTGGTGAACGTTTTAATTGCGATAATTGATAAATCTGAAATACACTCTTAACCTTGTGTATTATCTCAACAAAGTTTAAAGATTTCCTCTCCGATTATCACTTTAACACACTTCAATTCATCACAAGGAACACTATTATCCTCCATTTTTATTAAAAATCTTTAAAAAAGCATAAATTTTGAACTCGTAATATTAAATCGCTTAAGATAAGCACACAGAGTAAATAAACATTGAAACGTGAAATGAACTTGCAAACGTATTGCCCGCGCGCCTCCGCTTTTAACGAATTTCTTCCCAAAAGCCTGGCTTTAAATCTCTGTACTAATTGCTATATATACAATCGTAGTTATATTTCACTATAGAATATTTTGTCATAGGTTAGAAAGAGAGCGATCGTCTTCTCGAAAGCCCCGTAAAAAGCCCACGCGAGCGAGGGAGACAACTATTAGCTCTATTAAACTCATTTTTTATGACAGCAGCAGTACACTAAGGCAATATGAGGTCATCGGTCGACATGTGTAGAACAGTGGAGTGCGCGGGAAATTTGAAATAGCTTGAAACATTTTACGAGTTATTTTATTAGTTGATATTATTGATTGATGTTATTGATTGATTCAGGTTTAATAAGGCAAGCCCGGCTTTTCGGCTTTAATGGAAGCTTCGCCACTGATAAGATGTAATTACATTACACATACCACATTATTAGCAAATCACCCTAATACCGAGAACACAACGCCCCTCGTATATATGTATTTCGATTTCTTTTTCCAGTTCTTAAAACATCGTCCAACATTTTTTTTTTCAGTAGGAGATACCAGCTTTTACGGGGTGACAAAGAGGAAAAGGATGTAATACAAATATTTAATATAACCGCTTGTTAGACTGATGGATTGGCGACCCAGTGTCACAAAATCTCGAACGTCTCGACGTTGGTTTTATTTCTTATAGTATTTGCTCCCTTAGTTTATACATTTCTCAAAACTAACGATTAATAAAAAGAATGAAATAATTTCATATTCGGAAGTCTATGCTCTTTTTTAAGTGGTAGAGCCACGCTGTAGATATTATGGTTGTATCATGAATGGGTCGGTCGACCGGGGAGGGACCACGCTCTCACAGAATACCAGCGTCAAATAGTAGCTTAATGCTGCTGTGTTTCGTACGGTGAGTGTAGAGAACCGGTAACCCGTTTTACTGGAATCGAGCTATTCCATCTTAGTCCTGAAAGGTGACAACGCATCTGCATTTTGATTTTTAATCGAGGTTAAATGTATATGTCTATGGGCCACAGCATCCACTTACCATCAGGTGGACTGTGTGCTCGTTTGTCATCCCTATATAAAAAAACATAGTGTATAGAAGAAATAAAGGCTCGACATAATGTGAAATTATTTTATTCCTTTTAGTACATTCAAGTCGGTTGTTACTTTTTATTGAAAGTAATTTTTTTATCCTTTTGAGTGGACTGAAGAGTACAGAATCTCAGTGTCGTCTAAATAGTTACAATAAGATTTCATCCGCTGTTTTACACCACATATTTATCAAAATCTGTTCGCAATCAACGAATATGATATCGCGTAACATACAAAGAAAAATACAATACATTCGAATTGTATACCTCCTCCTTTTTTTAAGTCCGCTAAACATCGTCCTTTTTATTATTCCAGGTGGGGAGTCTTCCGTGCTCGATTGTTCCGCGACAGTTGCGTATTCCATCGAGGCAACTACGTGAAAGACCTCAACAGCCTCGGCCGCGACTTGCGGCGTGTGGTAATCGTCGATAACTCGCCCGCTTCCTACATTTTCCATCCGGATAATGCTGTAAGTTTAACCAGTCAACTTAATTTGCATTGCTATTTTACTTTATAATATTACTAGTGACTTGCCATGTTGTAGTACTGTAAGAATATCCATATCGTACCGTGTTTGACGTAAGAGGCGACGGAGAGAAACTGGGAAAGGACATGGGCCGCAGCTTTGTTTTCCTAATAACAACTCAAAATAATAAAAAAAACTCCGGTTGCGGTCAACACGCCAGCTAAGCGTGGTAACTATTGTAAAATCCCCCCATGAGGTAATTTATGGGGGAAGCCTATGTTCAGCAGTAGAATTTTATAGCTTGTAATGGAATGTGATTGATAGCGACCTCCCCTGGCTTCGTCTGAAAGGGACCTATTAAGTGGCGTCATTTTTAGTTCTCATTATCATTTTACAAAAAAATGTTTAATATTTTCTTCATTAAAAGTCAACAACTGGACATAGGCCTCTGCCGTTGTAGGGAATTTGCCTTTGTCGTTATGCTTGGTAGGTGAATTCACGATCGCTGTATCAGACGTTCCACACACGCTATCTGTTGCAAGCCATCTTTTTTAACATTTTCCATAAGAGCCTCTTATGATGCCGAAATAGTCAGGTACTTTGATCACTAAGACGCACTATTATTGTTTCGATTGTTCGCCTTATTTTAATCTAAATCATATAAAAAGGACTAAAATAGTTTTAGTTAGACTACCACAGCAACTAAGTTTATGATTATGTTGGATTGAACTATTAGTACAACATAAAACAAAATTAAATACCATTCTATTGTTAATGACATACTTTGATAGTTTAAATTAAAACAAAATAGTGTCTCACATCAAAAACATTATTACTATATATTGATTTACAATCGCTTTGCCACCCGCGCAGGTACCTGTCGCGTCCTGGTTCGACGACATGACAGATTCAGAACTGTTGGACTTGATACCGTTCTTCGAGAAGCTAAGCAAAGTGGACAGTGTGTATACCGTGTTACGTAATTCCAACCACCCGTACAATCCGGCGCAAGGCAGCCCGCCACCCGCATAGCCGCGTCTTTGATACGCAGCCGCCCACCGAGATACGCGCGCGCTACATCCACATTCGCTAACATACGCGCGGATCTCGAACTGTGACCGCAGATCCGCAACGAACGCGTGGCCTGAGCAATCATCTCGTGAAACGTGGCGTGCGGATCTCCGTGAGTACGACCATCCGTCCTTTGACTCGCACGAAACGCACGAGGTACGCGAGACGCGCGTATCTAGCTACGTAGAGTATTTCAAAGCGAATGTGCTCCGTGAGATCAGTGAGACTCATGTCGACTGTGACACGTTCGAGATCCGCAATTTCTGCAATCCTTGGTTGGACCCAACCGAAAACGTGTACTTCGAGATCCGCGAGTCGCACGTGGACTGCGATACGTTCGAGAGCCGCGATGAGCGCGAATTCTGCAACCCTCGGCCGGACGTTACCGAACCGAATCCGAGATCGACGAACCCGCTTACAACCTTTCTTGAGACAATCGTCAAGAGGGGAGCGAACTTCGTATTAAGTGCCAATATTGCCTTCTGGATAGTGAGGACGTTATTTGTACCTATTATACAATTTAGGTATTTCTTAGTGCGTAAGTGGTCTGTATGATGGATTTGTGATTTTTTATGATTTTACTAGGCCCTTTCTCGCTGTCAAGCTAGCAGTAAGCAGTATGTGCGTACGTTAATATTTATATTAATATCAATATTTCTATTTTATAAAAGTCAAATTATGTAAAATCCTTTAAAAGTTTTACGATTATAACTTAAATCGGTAGAAATCAATCGATTTTGTCCTTTATATCGCGCTTGGGATCAATAAGTTAGGATATACGCAATTGAAACATTATTTTGTATTGCGTAACTACTGTTGTTTTGCTATCCCGCTATTATTCGTATTGTATTTTCGTATATTGACATTTTTAACTATCGATAGACTTATGTAATTACGAATTTTTGAATTCGAATGGTAACTAAGTATCCAGCACTGTAGAATGGTGTAAATGTATTTTTATCATAGTCGAAAAGTATAAATACCATTTTATATAAGAACTCCTTGGGAACACACTACTTATTAAACTAAATTTCGAATATGAAAGGACACCAAATAAAAATATTGAAACTGTAATATGAGAAATCAATCATACGGATTTAGTTTAATTTGTGTGCTCGATCCAAAACAAATGACTAATACAAATATAAAAATAATCTAAGCAAAAGTGATCATGTGGCTGTTATTACCTTATCATATTATTAAAACAATATTAAAAAAAATTTACATTCATTATCGTCGATCTTTAGTTTACTGCTGAACATACACTTCTTCCAAGAGAGTTAAGTGGGTATTATTATAAAAACATAAATGTGATTTTTTTAATTTGACATCATTTTATCTTATTACTTACATAGTTCATGTCAACGAACTTAGATACAATGTACAACAACTAAGTTATAAACACATAATTTGGCAAAACCTGTTCATAGTGTAATAACAGCCTAATAGCAATTTTAATTTCGCACGTAATGTTCACAGTATTGATTCACAGTGACGCATAGGTGCACACTTAACAGTCATTGTCCTTTTTTTAATTTAAATATAATTGCATCTTTGACAATAAGAATTCAATCTCTAAAATATAATATGTTTAATTGACATCTCCATTTTTATATTTTGTGATAAAAACCCTATAATCTAAACATTCTTTATTTAATATATTCTTATGTTTTATCATTGACTGTGGAGTTGAAATGCCACTACAATATGTTACTTATATCCCCTCAGTATTACCTAGTTGTAGTCGATGACATTATACAAGGAATAAAAGAATAATCTTGTTCCGAATGGAATGAAGAATAAAAAAATATTTTTACACTAGCAAACTTTTAATGCCATATTAACGGAACTGCTGCATACGTGATTTATGCATTTGCTAATAGAAATTGGAACTTGTGTCTTTTCGAATTATGAAATTGCTTTAAAATGCGGTTAAAATTATAATAATATACTCTGTATTATTTTAGTGTATTTAGATTTTTTACTTTTGTAAATATTGAAAATGTATTATTAAATCTTAGTGATGTAAGCAGTTCCTTTATTGAAAAACTTAAAAACGCAAAATTTCAAAATTGTAACGAATCTACTACATTAAGATTTGATTAATTAGGTAATATAAAATGGTGCTTTCAGTATTAGTTGATTAAGCAATCGGAAAATTTGACTGTTAAGAACTTTATTGTACTCGTAACGCACATTCGGCTCTGTGCTCGACTAAAAACATCTTGGCAAAATTAATATTAAAAAAGGGCCGTGGCTCCCAATTCAGCACATAAATTTTATATACAATTTACATATAATTCTTTTTGGCTTATCAGTCATCTATTTATTGTTTATCTTTATTTGCTTAGCAAAAGTTTTATTGTTTATTTTTATTTCTTCCTTGTAGCAAATATCGATCTATTATTATTATTTTAATGGTAGACGTGTAAATAAGATTTTTATTAACTTAAAATCAGATAACTCAATTTTAAATCATGATTTTAAACGAAATCATTATTTTCGTACTGTAAATGTTAGTTTGTTATTTAGTGACTATGCCGGTATATGTATATAACCTCTACATATAGTTACTAGATATACAATACAGCTAGTTTGTAAACCTATATAAGTGTTAGGCATGCTATACTTGTCGTCAACCTGTAATCCACCTTCAAACACTATGCACAGTTTATATTAAAATGTCATATGTTGTTAACAGAATAAAGTATTATCTTTAATAAGTCAATTATCCACATTGCACTTCACGTACAAAATTTCAGTCTTAATTCGATTTCACATACAGATGCCTGTTAGTACGTAAGTCGCTTTTCTGAACTTTTATCTTATACATATCGCGTGGTTTTCGTTATTACTAAAGGGGCTTACGTGGATTACATGGTAACATGAAGTTATCAAGTGTTTTCACACATAGACAGCATTTATTTGTAAGCATTAACACATAGGACATAGGAACGTTATAGTAATTTATATGTTGATTTCTCTAGTTGGTAAGCATTCTGTTGTTTGAATTAACGTATTTCTTTCGTAAAAATCACCATACCACAGGCTTATAAAAAGAAAAATATCTCCCTGTGATTTTAAAACGATATTCTTAACCTTTGACACACAACTATGTTAAGGAACTTAATATTGTTAATTTTATTTTAATGCATGCAATAAAACTCGATTGATATTTTGCTATTAATATCTAATTGTGTATAAATAAAAATTATTTTATATTTTACCTAATAACTAGCGGAATTAGGACTTTGTTGTTTGTATAGTTAATTTCGCTAAATGTTTTTATATAATGTAATTTAATTGCTCTATAATGTATTTTTATGGAAAGCAGAGTGAGTTAACGCAATAACAATTGTTATGTATAATATTTGACTTTCCGAATTTTCGCACTATTATTTAAAAAATAAAAAGGTTTGTAATATGGGAACTCGATTTTTTAAATCTGGTGCTTTAAGCTAGGCGATGCTGGCGGAGAAATGCGCGTATAAAAAGTTGAATAAGCGCAAGGAGAGTAGCTTTCGTAGTTCAGTGATACTATCAAAAAATTGTTACTAAGCAGTTGCCATTAAACCATTCGTAGTTGCCATGTTTTTTTAACTTTAGACTTGTAAAACTGTGCTAAACCTCAAAAGTCGAGTTCTGCTTTTTCCCCTCCACGATTTTTAATTTGCTTGTAAACAAAGTACAAATCCGTAACGGCATTGCAGGACACGCGAACAAAAATTGTTGTAGAGTCGAGTATTTATAACTCTTAAATATAAGGTTGTGCTTATGCTGTACCACATATCTTGAGCAAAAACATTTGTGTTTGGTCTGATAAAGTTATTCTTGCCTTTAGGGTAATTTTACAAATACTTCACACTTTTTTATTCTTGTCTAAATCTATTTGCAGCCGTTCTGTTCCAATCTAATTTCCATCAACGTAAGCAGTGTTTATCGCCTCTTGTTTAGAAGGATCGTATAAAAAATCATTCAAAATTTAATGTTCCAAGCTCATGTAAAATATTAAATGGTAAGACAATCATCAAACCATTTTAAGGAATTAAACTGTAATATTTTATATAAAAAGATTTAAATAAGAGTAGCATAAACATTGTTTTACATTTAAAGAAAATTATATACCAAAAACTAGTAATTCTTGTTGACATTATGCCTATTATTAGTATACTATAAATTTTACCATATTTTTAAAGCAATCATGATAGAGTTTTATATAATTTTTTTTATTATTATTGAAAATTATGATTCTGTAATAAATTTTGTTAAAATAAATTCTATACTAAATTATTCTTTAGCGATTCTGCTTTTAAAACGTATAATTTTATGTGTTACAGTGCAGTTTTCAATGGTTTAACAATAATTGTTGTGTTTTAAACTTTACCTGTCAATGAAGGAATTTGCTTCTCTTAACAATTAATTGAATAAAATAACTAGATATTCGCAAATTGTAGATATATTGTACAGCATTACAGGACGGTATTATGAACATTTTGTACCTACCAGAGATTAAGGAAGTGAGAGGACTATAATAATTATATTTATGATGTGTAATAGCCATGGACTATAGAGGGAATCATGAGAGTAACTAGGTAACATTTACCTAAGACGAAATTTATATAACGGTGTACATTTTTGATATCATGTTGTACAAAAGAGACATTTGGTATGTTATTTTATAGGAATGAAATAAATAGCCTTAATAAACAAGTTTATTTTGTATCATTTTTCCGATAAAGGGTCTGTTTTGGTCCTTTTTAGAGTAGTATAATAAGTATGCTTTTAGGTATATTTTTGGACAAATTGGTTTTTTTCTGTCAATATATAATTTCTGTCAAGCCTCGATTGTGGTCGTTGAAATAATGGAATTTAGAGAAAAAGGAGAACGATCGCTACGTTCTAAAACATTAGCCCGCCTGTCCCTGAAAATTTGTAGAATTTATAGCCGCGCTGCTGTCGGT